AAAAACTTTTTAAGTCATTAAAATGACATTTCATTTCCTTATTTTTAAGTATATTGATCCAGATTTTATGAGATCCTGGTTAATCCATAATCTATGTCACTAACAAATATGGCAGTTTTGATTGTATAATTACATAGTAAAATACAATTTCATTTTTTTTCTTTAGATTTAACAATATACACTACATATTTGTGCCTTTATTTTTTTTCTTTTTTTTTGTATGTGTGTTTTGATAAATTTTATCTTTCCAATGAATAAGTTTTACACATTTTCTGAATGTTCACTGAAACTCAATAACACTACCAGAAAAATGTTATCTCCCTCATCCCCCTCTCCTGCTCTTTATATTGAAAAAGATATTTGGCATTTTTTCACAGTTGATTTTTCTTCCACCTCCTCCTATTCTTTTTGCTTTTCCTTTTCCATTCATCCTTTCTTCACCTCCTCCCAATTTTTTTTTGTTTTTGTCTATACTTCAATTAAAAATCTTTGCTTACTGCTCTTCATTCATTCAACTTGCTCTTGAGTTTACAGTTGTTATCAACAAAAGAATTTGAAAAAAAAGTTGTATTGAGAGAAAAGGGATCAAGTCAAGTTGATGCGTTGCCTGCTGCTGCTGATGGAATGCACAGTGTTAGGTGAAATGACTTGATTTGCATGCAAGTTTGTTTCAAGACTGACTGGGAACAATTAGGGAAGAGGTGGGGGGACTCAGGACTTGGCTCATCAACCCATTAACAAGGATCAAAAAGATGTGCACATACATGCGCATGCTTCTTGTAATTTATAATTATAAAACTTATGTGACTGTATATACATAATTACACTAATGTATATAATATGAATACATAAAACTATAACATCAATGTTATTTTATACAGTTGATCATAAATGCATACTTTTTTCTGCTTCTATAGAGGTACATTAATATACATACAATTTCATATTTACATGTACACGTTAGGACTTCTCAATTTAGGCCAGTTGTTGTTAATTTCACCCTTTAGGGAAAAAAATAAAAAAAATACAAAAACAGTGATAGCAACTCAAATATGTGTGCTGACTAAAAAAGAACAAACAAAACAGTTATAGTAATATGAAATAATGTACAAATACATAAATAGGAAGTTTATGCAAACAATTTTTTTTTAAATGACATAAGATGAATAATTACATAAATTCTCAATAAAATTTTTTCACATTCTGAGATGTTCATGCAGATATTCAGACATATTTAAATATACATCCTTACACTGATAGGCAAATATATTTATATATGCACACAAACTAATTTCTTTATGGTTACTAAAATCACTGAAAAACAGCAGTACTGTAAAACTTTTACATTTACTGTTTATTTATGGAAAAAAGATTAGAAAATGGAGTTCATAAAAGAACTGAATCATTGACTAAACACAAATATCTTTTTATTATTGTTGATATTGTTTACAAAATAGATATTTACTTTTTTATTTATCTACTTTATACAAGTTAAATGACTTTCTTTTTTTCTTTCTCTTGATTTTTTTTTTTTTTTTTTTTTTTTTTTTAATTTTTTTATACTCCAGAGAATAAAATTATTTTTTCCTTTTATTTTTCCCATTACACATTCTCGTTCACGGATGATTGTTTTCTGTGTCAATGAAAATTTCTTATGAGGACAATCTACTTAAGTAATGTGTGTTTTCCTTACATATATTGCATGAATATGACATACAATAGTTGTGTGCAAATAATTTTTACCAGTATGTTTCAAATATCAAAGATGTTTAATGTATGTGTATGTATTTGTAATCATAAGGGATTGTTTGTAATATTGTGTGCTTATGTATATATTTTTTTTTTCTGTATATGCTTGTCTTTCATGTCTGAGAGAGAATATGTTTGTGTGTGGATGGATTAAAGTGTTTAACGGAAGCTAAATATCCTATGCTACTCCAATTCCTGCACATCTTGGAAAGGGACTCTTCATATTATTATTCTAGGGCCTGGTGGTATTAGAATTCCTGCCACTTTATATTCTTGCTGCTTGTGCTTTGTTTGTTGATGTCCAACTTGCTGCTTGCCTGCTGTACTGTTGTCATTTCAATCTACCATCTCGTCCCCCACTTCTGGCCTCCTCTTCTACTTGCGAGAAATGGACAACATTGCTACAGAGTCAACTGCACACTGCTGGTACTGCTGCTGCTGCTCTTGTTAAAGTGCTGTGTGTGTGTGTGTGTGTGTGTGTGTGTGTGTGTGTGTGTGTCTATTTTCACAAATAGAGAGAGCAAATTCAATTCTTTATTCTAAAATGATAGTTTTTTTCCCTTGTCTAACCTGTTATAAATGTGTGAAGTGATTTTAGTTTCTCTTTTAGAAACTTATTTAACTGCAGTCATGAATTTTTTTCCCTGCAATAATATGGCTATAAGTATTAAAAACTACATTTGTTTATCATTAGGATTTGATTTAGTGAAAAGAAGATAAAAATCTCAATTGTCATAACACATAAAGTGAATAGTAATGTATTAGTTAAGATACCTTTTGTATTGTTTTAAATCTTTGCTTTGTAAATAGATGATCAGTATTGCAAGCTATAAATTCTATTATGGGTGACAATCTTCTCTTTCTTAACTTTCTTCAACAATTCTACTTTTTACTCTATTACCTAACACATTATTTCATGGGTCTTTTTTTTAATTTTTTTTTTTGTGGACAGTACAGATCTTTTTCAACACTAATACAAAATTGGTTGGCTGCTCTATAGATGTGTTAGCATACCTTTAAAAACAGTGATTTTATTTATAGCATCCACAGTCTATCCATAAAGATATAAATATTGACTCTTGACAGTATGTAAATTGTAGCTTTAAAAATATATGTCAAGTGAAAGTGGTTTGATTGTCTTCTCTTTTTATTAATATTCCCTGTGCAATATTGACGAGGGAATGTCACACTTTATATTACTTAAAATATAGTAATTTACTTAAACTAACATTTCCATTATTAAATTAAGTGCTTTTTTTTATTATTTTTTTTGCCTTTCCTTGCTTCTGAGTTTTAAGTAAAATCATAATTGATATCAAACACACAAACAATTTTTTCTTTTCTTTATCACCTGTAACTATTTTCATTGTCCTTCCTAAAAATACATTTTTATATATACCTCATGAGAATGAAGGAAATTTTATCCTGGTTATGGTTAACACTTATTTTGCAGCATTATTATGTTTTGTTTTCATTTCTATTTGCTTTTCTTGTATTATTACATATTCAAACCAAACAGCTTATTGTTTGTTTTGTACAAATAATATCTCTTTAATAAAATTTCTGTGTAGCTTGTCTTATCAAATTTAGAAAAGCTAATTGTTTTTACTGTGGCTTTCAGTTGTTAGTTATTTAAGTTAGCTGCAACAATTTTCTTTTCAAGTAATTTATCATTTATTTCTGTATCTTTTTAAATGGCTTGAATGCAGATGATGTATAAATGCTATTCCCAAAATAGTGAGTAATTTAACTTGTATTTTTGGCATCTTTGTCTTTGATATAATTGCATTTTTGTTCTTTATAGCTGTTTTTTTTTTTTTTTTTTAATTAGAATTTTATTACTTAGTCCTGTATTAAAACTTAAACTGCCACATTCATGTCACTCGTGAAATGGTTTTGTATTATATGCAAATAAGTTAATTTTAATACTTGGTAAGCTGTTTGTACTAAAGTGCTTTTTAAGGTGGGTGGAGCATAAAATGATTGAATAATTTTGTCTGTTACACTTTAAAGATAGTATATAAGAAATAAAATGTAAGAAAAAAAATATGTATATCTTTAGGGGAATAGTAGTATAAAAGTCCCCCCCATCCCAGTGTTTGGGTTGGGATGAAAGTTTTTTTGTTTTTTTTTAACCCTTTGGTTTAAAATATATGTTTGGAAAAAGGAGTTATTATTTCATTTATTTTTTTGATAAAACAAAAAAAGTTTAAATTTCTTGAAAACTAGAATTTGGAGAGTTTGAATTAATTTATTTAGAGGATGGAGATTTTGGGTCCAAAAGAAAAGAAAAACTCAACCCCAGTTTACTTAAGAGATCAAAAGTAGAATAATCAAAGATGAGAGTGGAAGAAAAGGAAATGTTGAACATCCAGAATATACTGTTTTATTAATATTTAATAAATTTGGCTTGGTTTAGCAGAGGGCCACAAGTGCACTCACTGCACAAATGGATTAGCATGACTAAGTTACTATCACTTTTTGCCATGGACCCGAAAGTGCTATTTTATATCTCAGATACTACATCTATTTGATGATTGAGTCACCAGGCATTGTACAATATAAAAGCAACAAGTTGTTTTGTTGTCATTTTCTCACTCAGCATGATTTTCAGTTTCATCATTTTCTGATTTCACTTCAGGCAGAATTCTACTTAATCATTGTTGTTTTTCTATTCAATATATAAAGAAAGGTTTTTCATACTTCAATTTACTCTAGTGTTATCCTGCCCCTTTATTACTTGCTGTAAGCAAAATTGAGGACCCGTATGTAAGCTGATCACAAAGTTGTGGGATAAAATGCTAAACCTTTGCTACAAAACTAATCTGATTGAGCAGTAAGAACAACTTACTCCTAGAATCTCATGTTCAATTTTATGTTTCTCTTCTCAATCATCAGATTTTAGATATCAGTGTGTGTGCAATGAGTGTGTACATATAAATATATCTAGCATGTTTGCATCTATGTGTAAAGAAAGGTAATATACATTACAAGCAGGTACTATTGCAATTATTTTAACAGCGAAGATTCGAAATGGTCTCTCCTTTTAATGTAGCTAATTTAAAGGTACAATCACAACATTTTTAAGGATTAAAAAATAGTTTTGACGTCATTCTGCCTAAATCCTGTAATGAAACTAAGTGACAACCTCTAATATAAAGCTGCCATTTAATGACACTTACCTTTACTTACCACAAAAGTATACTTTGTTTTGTATTGGGCTAATAGCATTAGATTAATTTCATTGGGCTTACAGCCACATCATGTTGAAACACCAATTCCCATATGATCACCGGAGTTAAGCAACATCGGGCATGGTCAGTACCTAGATGGGTGATTGCTTGAGAATACCAAGTGCTAAAAGCTTGGATATATAGGTGATGTAATGGATAATCAATCAGAATTGTTAATCAGAGAAATGAGTTCCAATTCCCATTTTCATTACATTTACTTATGTGCAAATACCTTTGAGAAAGGTATGAATTCGCTTCACCCCCGCTATGGGTTTCTTAGTAAGACTTGGATCACTAAATCATTATTATTCAAATAAAAAATTTATTACAATTTAAATATTTTCTGGCTTTAAATAACCTGCAAACGGTTGATAAGTTGTAAAAAAAAACAATCAAATCATTTCGTTGCTTATTTATAGTAATATATTTTTGTTTTTTTTTGTATTGATCTTTTTCGTGAAGGATTTAGGAAAAAGTGTGTTTTATATATGTATATTATAAATTCATTGATATTTTTCCTAATTACTTTTTAACATTTAATATCAATGTAAAATCTCTAATGAATTTACTGCAAGGTAAAAAATTTGTTACTTTCTTAATTGATAAAATCTTTATAAACCTAAAAAGAAATTAGTACAACCTGTAAGACACACACAGGCACTTACATAATTCTCTATCTGACATCTTAAAAGTGCAAGCATAGATTTCAGATAAGTGATTATGCTTATGACTTATCACCTATTCAAGATTTAACTCTATCTTTTTATCTTGAAAATTGTTTAAGCTTCTGAAATTACTGAAGTGGACTTGATTCTAATCTGATTATTGTTTTAACTTGGTTTTTTGCTATATTGAATGAAAAAGCACAAAATTAGCCAATAGAATAATTAGTTGTATTTATGTTGCTTTAAGTTTTGGTGATAAGCAAGACCTGCTCAGTAGAAAGTCAGGTTTATTTTAAGGATGTTTCACATATGCTACAAAATTTTCTATGATGTCTGTCTTTTTTCATTAGAGAAATAGATAATAACAAGAAGGTTGAACTAATTTTTACACTCATTGTAAATATACAAAAATGCCAATCTGTTGTATATCTGAATTCTGTGCATTAAGCCACTTCCCAAAATAAAAGGGATGCATGCCTATTTTAAATCGGTTTCAATTTACTTGTGCATATTATTAACCCCTAACTTGGAATGGAATATTGGACATTTTACTGCTTTTGCTGTTTACTTGGCTAAGCTAAATCTGGCATGAGCCTGGGGATGGAGCCAGCAAAATATGGAGAAAGAGAAGTGTGTGGGGTGGGGGGTAATGTATTGCTGCATACACTCTTAGGCCCCATAAAATTTGCTATGTTTATTGGAGCTTTTTACAAGCTAAAATTAGCTCTTTATTATATTTTAGACCTTGTTACATTGTTCATACTTGAAGTTTTTAAATATTAGTGTGATGAAAATCTCATAAAATAAACGAATTGCAGTTTCATTAAATAGTTTGTTCATTGATTGGTTCGGCCTTGTTATCGTGAATGGAGAAATTTTAGTTTTCCAATGAGTTACCTTTTCCTGGCACAAAAGGTGAAAAGGGTTAGAGCTTTTCTAATGGTGGGTGCAGACTAATTCCTGAGGTATTTTACATTTGCTTGAGCTGTTTACTTGACTAAATTAAATCTGGTACAAGTCTGGAGATAAAACCAGCAGAATATATTTATTTGCATTAGTTGTCTTTTGGGGCAACTGCAGAAATGGACATTTAGACATATTTGTACTCAGTATATTGCAGAGGTGTATGCTCTAAAAACATCAGGTTCTTTGTACCATGTCTAATACTTTGTGCTACTCTTGCTTGAGAGAAGTTACCAGCACAGAGGATTTGAGGAATTATCTCTGTATTTTGTTATTTATTTCCATACAAATTTAGTTCCCTGGCCATATGTAGCTGTGAACTTTTCTAAGTATATTGCTAGTTCATGAGGATCTGTCTTCCAGGCAGTACAAGTGGGGTCTGTGTGTACATTCTGATACCGTTTTATAATATGGACGTAACTGAGTAATGTTTGTCTTTTAATTCATATGCAAATGTATATGGATTCCCAAGTTTTAAAATACAAAATAAAATAATAATAAAGTTCTTGTTCTGCATTTCATTTGCAATGAAGAAAGAGTAAATCCTACTAAAAATGTATATGTCACTATTTCTTGGTATAAATTAACATCAGCTTAGTTATGAGTTAGACTTTTTTAAAAGGTGCTAAAGGATTGAAAAAATGGCTTTATGCAAAAGACCAAATATTTTGTGCGTGTACATATTTACATACATACATATATATGTATGTATATATAATGTGTGTGTGTGTGTGTATATATATATATATATATATATATATATATATATATATATATATGATAAGCCACGTATGTATATATTTTTAATATGTATATATAGAAAAAGTTGCAAATTAAAAAAATAATAATGTTTTTTTTATGAAAGTATTTATATATATATATATTATTTGAGTGTGTAAAATGTTGGTTATAACTAAAAATATATCTGTAAAAGGACTGTATGAATAAAAACCAAAGTAAAACTTATCTTAGTTGACGTGTTTCATGCTCTGATGTACTTAATCAAGTCAAATGTAAGCATTTTATTTTGAAACAAATTCTTATAAACAAAAAAGTAAAAATATTGTTACTTTATCAAAATTTTTGAATTTCAGAAATGCTCATAAATATTCATCAGGCTAAGTGAATTTTATTTAAAATATATAATACATAAATTAATCCCAAATTAAAATAATATTAATTACATTATAATAAAAAATAAAAATTAAGAACAAATTCAACATCTTTTAATCACTTTTGTTTATTAGACATTAAATTACATCACTTAGTTTCCTCCATAAATTACCCTGACTTTACAGTTAGCCTCATGAATATTTATAAGTGTTTCTTAAAATTTTGAAAAACTAACATTTTTACTTTTGTTTATAAATCCTTGTTGCAAAATAAAATTCTTACATTTACAGAGGCTGAAACACATTGGTTAAAATAAGTTTTTCTTTTGTCTTCATTCAGACTAATAAATATACATTTTTTTCTCACCAGTAGCATAACTCTCTGAAAGTCAGTTGTACTATTGGTGAGGAAAAAAAAATGTATATTTATTATTAATATATAAATTATAGCTGTTATTCTACATGAAGCACTATTTTATTAGCACCAGCACTCAATGTGTGATATTTTATATATATATATATATACACACACACACACACTATAGTTCAAAAGTTTGAGGTGACCCACTGGTAATTTTTTAAATTGGGCCCTAAATTAGTTGTTTTGTACTTTAAATGAGAAAAAAATTATTATACATGTTTAAAAAAAAAGAAAGAAAGTGAGACGTGATTTTTTTTTATTACAAATTTCATTATAACAAAAAGAAAAAAAAAATTTTATGATTAAATTTTGCTCTTGTCAAAATATCCTCCGAGAGCCTTGATTACTGTAGCACAATTTTTTATCATTTGTTGCAAAAGTTTCTCAAAGTATAAGTTTGATAATTGATTCCATCCTTTTTTCTATGACTCTACGAGCTCATTTTCATTTTATTTATTTATTTTCACTCTTCTGTCGAGTTTGTCCCATGCTAATTCAGTAGGTGGGAGTGGATTCAAATTTTTGAATTGTAGTGGGTATATGTGTGTGTGTGTATATATATATATATATATATATATATATATATATATATATTATTTTTCTGGGTAGAAGTTTCTTGTAAGTAAACAAGAAAAGTTATGTTTGAGTCCAGTGAGTATAAATATTGTATAAATAATGTATGTTTGGTCACTTTTAACTATAGATATGATAATCTTTAAAATCTGGCAATATACAGACATTTCTTTTACAAATTCGGAACTTTTAAAACACAGTGTTGATCATTGCATATTATGAAAACATCAGGGGAAGGTGACTAAACAAGATTCTTCATTTATTGACTACATTTAAAACTACTGACAGAGATTTGATATTTTGGTGGATTTTTTTCCCCATGTTTAAAGCTTCTAATATTTTGGATCCTCACTGTTTTTACAATTATTATTTATTTATTTATGAGCATTATGCTAATGAAAATATTGTTTAGCAATATGTTCCTTGATATGTGCACAGATTGTGCTGTGATTGGCAAAGTTGCAGATTAATCTACAGGATAGAGTAGTTGCATATCGAACATATGTATTTAATATTTGTCGCTTTTTTTATGATGTCACTATAATGCATCATTTTTGTCAAGTTTTAAAAGTATTTGATTATTAGAAAAATCGCATGTCTATATAAACTTAATTTTTTTAAAGTAGCCAGAAGTATCATTGAAAGGACATTATGACAAATATTCAAATTGTATCTAGATTTATTGAACTCATATATATATTCTCTTGTATGGAGAATATGATATATTAACTTTTATATATTAGAACAAGGTAAAACTTGCATCCAGATTTTTAGAACATTTCACCTGTCAGATTTTCTATTAATACAATGTGGGATATTTAGTAATAAAAGTGATAAGAACAAAATCATAAGGAAACTGAATGAATGAAATTGGCTTGACTACATGTCTTGGTATATCCCCCACCCTGAAAAAAAAATTAATTTTAGCATTCCAACATATTCAGTGTTTTCTGCCATTGCATAATTATATAAAATGATGTATGTGTTTTTATATCTCTCCCTCTCCTTCCTGCATATATACAGTGTGCAACAGAAATATCTCCCACGTTATGGTAAGGCATGAGCTAGATGAAGACACCATATATGGAAGAAACTGATTGTGGGATGAAATTATATTAGATATAGGTTGTAAAATTTTTTATGATTGTTTGAAAAAAAAGTACTTCTGAAGTGGTTTGAAATAAATTTTTATTTGGCAATTATTTATACATTGTGTAGCAGAAATACCTCCCACATTATGGTAAGACATTAGTTAAATGAAGACACCATTGCCACTAATGCCTTACCATTATGTGGGAGGTATTTCTGCTGCACCCTGTATAATTGCATTGACAAAACATTACTTTAGTCTAATGAAGTCTCTTCCAGAAGACAGAACACGTTGCACAGATT